CAGAGTTTCAGCGTCGCATGGCCCAAAAGACCCGTGATCGTGACGAGAACTTTTATTTTCTGGGCGTGGAAAAAGATTTCATCATTGATGCGGGACCCAAGGGAAATCTTGCGCGCTTCATGAACCACTCGTGTGAACCTAACTGTGCGACCCAAAAGTGGACTGTAAATTGTATAAACCGCGTGGGACTGTTCGCCATTAAGGACATACCAGAGGTAAGGAATATGCTAAACCAATTATAAAATAAGATTTGACACTTAAATTCCTTTAGAATACTGAGCTGACGTTCAATTATCTGTGGGATGATCTTATGAATAATGGAAAGAAAGCTTGCTTCTGTGGCGCCAAGCGTTGTTCTGGCGAGATTGGCGGCAAGCTGAAGGATGAGGAGGTCAAGGTAGGCATATATTTGAAGAAAAAATGTCCATAACTGCATAAACATCAATTTACCCACAGGAGACAAAGATCAAGCAATTACCACGCCACAAGGGCATTCGCATCCATGTCGGCGCACCCAAGAAGAAAGCTGCGAAGAGGTCCAAATCTAAGCAAATCAGCGCAGACAATGTACCCCCAACGGAGCAACCATTGGATGCTGCTGCCGCTAGCAAAGAGCCGTAGTTTAATTGACAAGAATATAGTTTATTTTTTTGTGGCATTTCTGTTGCTTATTGATTATCATTTGTTTTATATAAAACTCTGAATATTGCCGGATAATGGACGCTTCTATATTTATATATATATTTATTGTTTGTTATGCTTAAGTATGAATTTTATAAAAAAAAAGGAAGAAAACAAAAAAAAAGGAATGAAGGACTTTCTTCGGCACGCCGAAGGTTAAATACCCTTGAATAATTATGGTATTCGGCCTTACAGATATGTGAGAGGACTATTACAGCTCGTAATTGTTGGAAAAATAATTTTTTAAAAAAATAAATTATTCACTTCAAAAACTCACTGGTCCGATGCTGATAAGGTATGGCTTATATATAAGCACAGTGAAACTAAAAATGCAAGGTTCGCTCGTCACCTTTTTGACCGATTGTTTCTATGGCAGCTATATAATGTAGAAGTCCGATCCGACCGGTTCCGACATATGTACAACGCTCAAGAGAAAGACTGAACTATGCAAAGTTGTATGATAGCTTTAAAACTGAGTTTGCATAAAAACACACGGACATATATCGGCAGTTGATACAGTCTAAGAATAGGTGTACTTTGGTGGTGTCGAAGATGTCATGAAAAATTATAATATCCTCACAAGGCTACAAAATTAATTTTTTAGAAAAGATTTTAAAATTTTATAATCGGTTATTACAAACAATAAAAGAAAAAGGCGATGCGACAAGAATTTAGTTTCGTTGTTTTACAAAAATTTTATTTCATTATCAAATCAGTTCATTATTTGGTTGAAATTATATTTTTAAGTTTAGATATAGCTGCTTCTACAACTGCCCATAAAAAATATGCTTATATACATAAGTATGCACATATATATGTATTTATTTATACATATTTTGTTCCAGTTTTGGTTTAGTCGCTTAGCTAACCTACAGTAAAAATGTAGGAAGCTCTTTGGCATTGGCATAACTCGTATTCGTACGACTAAAGAACTAAAGTTATATATTACGTCTTACTGTTAGATCTAGGAGTATGCACTTTAATCTTAAGTAGATTTAACTACTTTGTAACGAAAGAAATAGAGAAACGAGTGCCAAACGTAAAGAAAAAATTATATATGAAAACAAAAGCATATTGCTTAAGCCGACGGCGGGTTGTTCGATTGTTTTTGGCTAAAGTGACCCTCGTTGAACTTTGGCACAACGGCTTCAATCTTCTTAACAATGGTGTTGAGCGATTCACGTGACATTTCGTAGAGTGTGTTAAGCGAGATCAGACGCATGCCACGTTGGTTGCATACCTCAATCACAGACCATTTCTCAAACAATTTCAAGCAATTACGCACAGAATCCGTCGAGATGCTTTCAGCTGGAAGGAAAATACAAATGAGTTTAATTTGCTATTTAAATTATTTAGCAGTGCTTACCGTATGCACAGCTGCCACGCTTTACTTTGTTGGTTAGATCGTTGATAACGAAACTGATAAACTCAGATTCCAGCATTGCGCTCCGATGTAAAATTTGCAGCGACTGGGCTACAATCAGATATGTTGATGCAAACGGTGCTAGCACCTCGCAAATGTGCCGCTGCTGCTCGAGTGTATCTCTGGCCAGCAGCAACAACTCAGCATCCTCATGCGACACATGCAGATAGTCCTCATCATTATCATCATCATCATTTTCATTTAAATCATAGGCCAATCTACGTGCCAAGCGACGTGTCTCCGCAATATGATCTGATTCTTGCACCTATAAATATAAACATTGTCAGCATCTTTCAATATATAATATATTGCCATATAAATAACCTCATTTCTGCGCAGGCAACCATTGATGAGCAGCTCTTCCAGCTGTTTATAGAGCATAGCCTCCAATAATTGCGTGGGCTTGTTTAGTATAAATTCGTAGCGATAGACAAGACAGTTCTCCAGCGCTGTCTCAATTAGTTTTTTCTGCGAAACACCAACTGTTTGATTAGCATCTTTGTCGGACAGATTGGGTTCTGGCAGGAGCGCATGAAATGTGGTCAACAATATGGAGCTGAGTGCAAAGTGAGGAGTTAACATGTTGGAGTAGTAAGCCAGCTCAATGAAGCTCTCCACCGAGGGCACCGCGCGAATAAACATGTGGCCATTCTCGTCGCGTGTGCGTGTTACCAGCTCTATAAAATGGTTGAATATATACATACAAAGAAGGTCGTTTTAATTTTGTTTGAGTTAGAGCTACCTGTCCCCAGCAGATCGCAAGCATAGGCCACAATGTGCGCCGATTCGCCCGAAAAACCCAAATCTTTGCAGCCAGACAGCGAATTCCGCAGATCATCCAGCGCGGCGGCAATTAGCTGCTCTTCGGCGCCATTGCGATAGCGTGTGAGCAGCAAAAAGGCCAGAGCATTGGTCGACATAACCGACGTGGCTGCCGCGCAGTCAAAAACTACCTGTCGCGAGATGCTCTCTATAAGATTGCGCTGCTCCTCGCAGACCACATCAGTTCCGTATAAGGATGACGTTGATTGATTGTGCTGCAGCGTCCTGTTTGCTCAAAATAAAAAATATAAAATGTACAAATTTGCATACGAAATGTGATTACAACTTACCTGGCTGCTGGCTTGTAAACCTTTGAACTGCCATCTTCGCGTGCAATTTTATTGTACGAGTTGACGAGCTCGCGTATTGAATAGGGTTCATTGAAATCTATGCGCATCAGTCCATAGTTTGAGTTGAGTGCTTTCCAAATGCCTGAAATTGCCTTCCTGAACGATTCAGGTACCTTCTTTTCCCCCTTTTGTTCACACACGAAATTACCATCGACCAGACGCTCATAGTTTACGGAGACGGGCACCAGCAGGGCGTCCGGTATGCTGCCATCCATGAAGGCATTCACAATCACAGATAGTATGCCGCCCTTGGGCATGCAAGGCTTTCCCGTGCGCGTACGTCCGCCCTCGATGAAAAATTCAACATTGTGACCCTGTTTGAGAGCGTGAGTTAAATACAAATGAAGCGCTGCGCGATAGAGCACATCCTTCTTTCCCTCAACGGGATCGATTTTGCGCTTGATGAAGAAGGCGCCCAGGCCGCGAAGCAGTGAGCCAAACACTGGTATCTGCAGATTATTGCCAGCAGCCACAAGTGGACTGCGTATATCATTGTTGGTCAGAATAAAAGTCACCATAATATAGTCCAAATGGCTGCGATGCAGCGGCACGAATATCAGCGGTGTGTCCGGTGAACGCTTTGAAGCATTCTGCAACATTTCAATTTGTTTCGTATTTGTCACAACGCCGGACAGAAAGCATGGCAAGAGTTTATAGAGCAACCAGGAGGTAATCGCTAGCAATGTATTGTTCAAAGTGGATCCCATTTCCTTGAGTATTTTGAAGGCACGTTGCTCTTGCTTAGACAGTATCTTCTGATATGATATGCCCACCTTGGCGTCCTCTTCCTCATCCTGATCGCCGCTAATGCTACGCGCGAGCAGCCGATGTCCATTTTTGGCATAGCGTTGTTCACGTAAAGTTTGCTCGGCGGCCTGTTTAATGGCATGTTTTAAAACGACATCGTTGTGCACAATTTCAGTGACCTGATAGTTTTATGATAATGAGACGTTAATTGCGATTGTAAATGTGTTACAAAGACGTGTACTCACCTGGCGGTAATCAAACTTCTCGCTGCGCACAACCTGAGCCACATAGGGGAATATACTGCCCCAGTCAAAAACGCTTTTGAATGGCTTTAAGCCCGCATGTGGCGTTAGCTGTAACATGTTCTGAGTGCCAACGCCATGGTCCACAGAGTTTTTGGCTTTCGGCTCCTGTACAAGCAAACGACGGTAAAATTAAATATATATATGCACATATCTGTACATAAGTGATGCAATTCGCCCGCGCAAATGCTTAAATACGTAACACACACATATGCACGCATATAAAACTTAAAAAAAGCTTACCTCAAACCAGCCTCGCGCCTGGAACTCATTCATTGTAATTAAAATTATGAGATTCACTTATATACGATTTGTTTTGTATAAAAATCACATTTCATTGAGCAAAGCGCCGACAACCAAATGCGGGGAGCGATAACTTTCGTCTAGCTTTTCTGAAGTTTATCGATTGGACTGCGAGACTATCGAGTCGGGCAACAACAAAGAAATAATAAAGATGGCAACTCCGCAAAAATATCAAATGGCATTGCTGGCGCTACATGTTATGTATGCATGTGTACGTTGTGCTTTACTGAATGAATAGCTTATCAGCTTTGCGCTGCGTACATATACATATTTGTATTGTGCATCGAGCGTTACGTATTCTAAGGTTATTGAATGTTCATGCGCTTTGATAAGCGGCGTAAACTTACATTTGATGCCCGAAGCGTGAACAGTATCTCGTTGCCAATGGTGTTGAACTTTCCCAACGATGAACGATAGCTTAGATTTAGATTGGGAAATAAACGGGCGATAATTGCGGGTGCTCTGTAAACAAAGAAAAGTATGTATGTAAATTAACAGTAATTCACCACCTTTGCATTATGTATTGTATTCAATTAAATAAATAGCTGGTAACTGCTATTGAATCAGTAGCACGCAATAAAATTGACGACTACCCCACTGAAAGCACCTCATACAGTCTGTAGTCCAATTTTTAAGTATGTATTTTATAAAGTTCACTAACCTAGCATATATATATAATAGTATATACGCTTGCCTGATAAGTTATTAGTTGTCCACAAAAACAAAGCCTTTTGAACTTTGTACCAAGCGAATCGTATTGATATAACACATACATACAAGCTTTGTATAAGCAACAGAGTGGCAAGGACGTCCTTCATCTCGAACCTATCCGTGTTGCCAGATAGTTGCATGAAATCTTTTAGTTGTGTATTTAAATTAAGTTAGATTATGCTTCCCATATACTGTAATAATTGCTTAAGCAGGCGTGATTTTAAGCCCGATATAAAATTTAAACTTACTCGATGCCATCACATAATCTGCGCTAGCTGCCTGCCCAAATCAACTGATGGCGACCGAAATTGTCCCGTCTGCCATCGCAGCTTAAGTGCCGTTACAATAACACACGATATGCCCAGCAATGTTGCCAACTATTTTTTGGATCCCATCATCTTTTTGAAAATGTATCGGTCCATTAGCAAGTTTCAAAGTAAACAGCGTATCATTCACTATACAAACTTCTACAAGCAGAAGGCGCGCCTGGCCAAAAAGAAGCGCAAGCTGCAGGGTTACAGAAAGCTGGAGGCACAATTGCTGGAGCAAAATGACTCTGAAAAGAAGCGCATCGTCGAGTTGCGCGACTATATTGACTACCATGAACGTCGCGAAGAAGCATTGCTGCCCGATACTAGCTTAAGCTCCACTGATATCTCGAGCACGGCACGCATGATGTGCCGCCCCCGCACACCCTCATTTAGCGCCACAGACACGACGCCTACTGATACGGAAATTGAGATGAGCGATAGCTACCACCTGCAGGAATTTAATAAACTACTCTCACAGGCGACCTCGACAAAATCAACTAGGAAGTCTGTGAAAAAAAGGAGAAAGGGTAAGAAACCAAAACTATTGAAATTTAAAAAGAAATAAAATAGTTTTATATACATATACATATGATGAACGACTCACTTCTAATTTAAAAACGTAAAGTCAGATGTTTTATGAATATATAAATAATAAATTCATAGTTTCCGTTACTCATGTTATGGAAAGTTTTTAGTATAAGAGGCTCAAGTGCTGAAAACTACGTACATTTGTATATATGTACGTAAATATTTGTATGAGCATGCACGAATACAATGATCGGAACGAAATAAAAGCTGGAAGAGATTAGAATTGTTCAGAGTGTAGGAATTGACATTTTCAATGGATTATATGCTGTAAATCTAAAGCTATTATTATTAAAATTGTTTAATAGTTTTATTTTAAATTTTAAGTCTTGTAAACCCCACGAAATTGGCCTATGCTTTTTTGCACCAAAACTTTTTAATCATAAAAATTGTCCTTAAATCGGAAAGAAAACTTAAAGCAATGTTTTGTATTTTTTTTTACCAAAAATAGATAAGTTTGCCTATGCTAAATAAATAAAATAAAAATATATGGTTTCCAGAGTTTTTGGTACTTTTTCAACATATCTTATGGCGGATGAGAGCTCTTATGGCTCAAATATTGTTAGAACTATTTATAGTCATACATTTTTCATAATTATTATCACAGAAAGAGCTTCCGGCAGTTCCAACAAATAGAATCAACTTTAAACTCAAAGCGTTCTAATTTGCGAGAGATTACTGTATTTGGTTGACACATGCATTGACATTTTGTTTATGGTTTAATCGCTTATTGACTGATATTTTGAAACAGTAATCGCTTGGAATAGCATTCAACACTTTCTTCTTGACTCCACTGAAGCAAAACATCAATCGTCTCAAATTATGAAATGAGCTTTGTACTGTTTGGCGCAATTAATGCAGATTAGGTTTATCGCCCGATTAAAGGTGTGCACTTAAAATAACAATAGCAGAACGCTAATCAGTTAATTAGCTGCTCATTTAATACATATTTGTGTGCATGCATGTGAGAGTACATACATCCGTTTGTATGTGTGATTTTCAATTACGATAATTGTTGCCAAACGATCGATCGAGTTGCTGTGCTTATCAGAAGAGCAACCAAAAGAGAGGGAAGAAAGCGTCATAGAGGCGTTGTGGGAGGTAGGCGCGAGTGCATGCAAAAAGTAATAGAAAAACTTGAACTTGCGTCAGCGTTGAGAAAGCGTGAATGCAAATGACCTTTGCGCATCCTTAGAACTAACATATCGACCAACCGATGCTCTTCCTTCGCGCACGACACGTGCTTGATAAGCGCAATGCAAAACATGCACCAAAACGGCACGTTCGACCACGCAGAATTTGTAAATTGCGCGCGCGACACAAACAAAGAAGCAGCTCAAAAGTGCAGAGTGCACGCTGCCGGTGGGCGTTACTCGAAGCTCACCCACCTGCCGTAGAACAAAATCGAAAGCTCATTTCGCATGCGCTGCATAACTCAAGCGATGCAGCAACAACTACATTTGTCCATTACTTCGCTCTGTTTGGTTGTTTGTGTGTCTAAAAATAACGGCGCTCTTGACCACCAATTTACATAAGACACACATACATGCATATAAATAAGTAAACTTATTGCAGTTGGTACCTAACGAACTTGAACTACACGCTGTTAGAAGCAAGCTTTTTGTGTTTACCCTAAAACTATAGAAATTAGGCAGTGGCATTACAACTTTGACTGTTAAATTGTAGAAAATACGGATATATAACTTTATCGATAAGTAAACAAAAATGAGTCGGAAATGTTATGGGCAATTTGATATTTAAAGTTTTAAAAACTTTCTGATATTAAGATCCGTATAAGTTTGTTATCATTTGAAAAAGTATCATTAAATTTGTTTTCCAGTGTTATTTCCTTTTTATCGATATACATATCTTTAAAGCGGACATATTCCTTATCTAAAGATCATTCGACCGCGTTAAAACATATTTTATTTAGACTGTTAAATTAAATATTGCATAAATCCATTTTAGTCATTTTCACATTGAGATCAGAGAAAGTAGAATTTAGACAGATAGGAATTGTTAGAAAATTAAATTTATTATCAGCATGTTTGTAGTTGAAGCAAAAATTATTTTTGTGACAACTCTTTTATTTATTGTTTACTGTTTTTAAGCACTTTATATATATATGTACATATTTAATGTACCTTTAACCCAAAAACCAGTTGATACATTGAAATGTTAAAGAATTTTTTGTTTTATTTGATAAACAAATGCCACAGAGGGGTATAAAAATTTTAATTTTTCACAAATTGAAATCATGGCTTGAATAGAACCATGCTAATTTGGAAGCCACCACTGTATGTATGTACATGTATGCATGTATTTGTGTGAGTCTGCATATGCTTGTGTGCAGCATGTACAGCTGCTTGTCGGCGTCATTAATTGAACCTGACAGATGCTGGTGTTGCCGGCAGAACCACTGTCGTCGCCGCATGATTTCTCTGGCTTCCCATGCCCACCGATATGTACTTACCTAGTTTTAGCAAAAACGTAGTAGACAATAAGTGCAACCGATGCGATTTCGATGCCGCCAAGCAAGGAAATTTCCGCCACGCATTGGGCAAAGTTCAAAACGCTCGTCAACATGGCTGGACTGGCGTAAGTGTATCCAAAAAAAAAAAAAATCTCGAACTCTGGCTTCCAAAGTGCGGGGTCTTTGCAGTGGTGGCCCGCTATTAAGATGGCACCCAATAATGCGGCTCTAATATAATGTTGATGCTGCTGGCAGAATGTATGTACTTTGCCTCTCGTGGCCGCAATCTTTGCGGAAAAATACGACGCGCATGGAGAGAGCGTCTCCTGCTCTCGCTCTGGCTATGACTGTTTACGTCTGATTGCTGCTACTATGTATGTGTATGTACAGATGCGCTCGTGTCGTCTCGCCTCTCCCTATATTGCGTTCTACTCTATATAACCAGACATCGTAGGTGTCGCGACCCGTAATTCGCGAGACAACGTAGTGAATATTATAAAGTATCGTATGATTTGGATTCTGCGCGTTTTGGTTTATTTTAATTTTGTTTTATTCTTTTTTGCGATTTACGCACAAATCTTGATAGTACACGCTTTATTATTAGTATTTATTTTTTTTTTAATGTGCAATAAACACTAGCGCATTTTTTTGTCTCTTTTGGCACTGACACTGTTCAAACGAGCTTTTGTCCTTTTCTTTGTGCTTATTGCTTCGTACTGGCCATTGTTGCCGGCTCCTTTGTTATTGGTTGTTTTTCTTTTTCCTTTCTTTTTTTTGCTCGCCAATTGCAAAAGGCAACACACAGAACTCGGAATTGATACGACTGCTCGACTCGAGCGCTCACTGCGGAATAAACACGCTTGCAATCGTTGCTGTTTAATTAAATGCCAATTAACGTGTGACAACAAATGTGGACACATAAAAAATACAAAGTATAAACGTAGCGCATGCCGAAGATCATCATCAGCAGCATTTCACGAGCGACAAAAGCACAGCCGATAAGAGCATCGATAGGCAGCGACTAAATGTTATCAGCTGACGAGCCCAGCAAAAGAGAGGGCAACATAGCACATACGCTCATTAAAGAGAACATCTCAAGAGAAAGAGACAAACACGAGGCAGCAAAAAGAGCAACAACTAATGACCTAAGACTAAATAGTTTAATATAGATATTACTTTCGCACTGTATTATGAATAAAATTCATACAACTTTTGTTATTTATTATATAAAAAGAGTGTGTTTTGTAGTCGGCTATTACGTGGAAAGTAAATCAGTTTACTTCTTGGCCGCTGGTTTCTTGGCGGCAACCTTCTTCTTGCGAGCGGCCAACAGCTTAGCGCGATTGGCAGCAGCCTTTGTGGCGACATTGGCAAAGTGCGACTTGGCCAGCTCGACGTTCTGTTTCTTAGCCTTGGCCAATACCTTAGCCACGGTACGCTTCTCAGCGGCCAGGGCGGCACGACGCTTGAGCACCTCAGCATATGGGTTCAACTTGATCAGTTGACGCACATTGGACAAGGGATTGAGGCGGCGCACGCGACGGAACACATGCTTGCGTGGATCACGCAGCACTTTACGGATCTCCTCGGATTTCAAGAGGCGCGACAGATCTGTGTTAGCCATCTTAGGCTGGGGTAGATTGTAACCCTTCTTCAGAGTGGATGGCTTCTTCCAGGTGCCGAACAGATCGTTCAGGCGCGAGAATGCCGACTCCGTCCAGATGACAAAACGACCAACATGACCGCCTGGAGCCAATTTCAGCAAGTTCAGCTTATCCACACTGATGGTCTCAATGCCGGGGATGTTGCGGAACGCCTTGCGCAGACCCTCATCCTTGTGGTAGACAACAAGTGGGCCACGGCGGGCAATGCGGCGACGGTCGCGCATGGTACCACGGCCAGCACGGAAGCGCTGCGACTTGTACACCTGCAATGGATTTGACATTTAGTATCAATCAATCAATTCGAAACGATTCATCTGTTGCCCTCCACTGCAAACGGTTGTAGCTTTGGATCAGGCTACAATCGTAACGCCTAGGAGGGCATTTGATCTAGCAATGCATTATAAATACTACTCCATGGAGCAGGTAAACGAAATACCAATCATAAGCATTCCGTTTACATATACATTGCTGCAAATTAGCCACATTAGGCAGTTATTGTGTACACACCTTCTGGATATCTGCCCAGACCTTCAGGCGGCGCAAGAAGACAACAGCCTGCTTGGTCTTCTGCAGTTTCTGCACCTCATCGGAGACAACCAATGGGAACTCGGAGACGCCATCGATAACGTGTCCCTTTGACTGCACCAACGCTGGCACACCGGAGGCGGCAATAGCCGACACCAGGGCATAACGGCGCTGGTTTACATTCACCTTGCGGTGCCAGCGACGGAAGGTCTTGGTTGGTGCGAACATGCGACCACCACGGCACATGTTGCCAAAGGCACCCTGGCCGGAGCGATGAGTACCGCCACCACGCACACGAGGGATACGTGCAACGGCACGGCCAGTACCCCAGGATTCGGCAGAGGTCTGGTGACCTGGAAGTAATGGAATATAAAAACTTGTTTACATTGTTTACAAACAAATACGCGCGCTGGATGCACTTACCCGCCAGTTCGCTGACGGCATAGGGCTGACGGTTGTTGCGGCGCATCAGCTGGTGCACCTCGTTGACCACATCCGGACGGATGGGCGCCTTGAATACCGCGGGCAGGCAGATGTTTTTCTCCTTGACTGCCTCATTCTTTTCCGTGTACACGGAGACC